AGAGAGAGAAGTAAAAGTATATAAAGTCTCGAAAGAAAAAGAGAAAGAAGTTAATAAGTTGCCAGAAAGGAGGTGGGACCCCTTAGACCATCTTCCTCCTCCCCCTCCAGATCCAACAGAATACCTCCCATTATCTCCTCCTCCCTCAACAGCACCAGTAAATGATTTGCCACCACCTCCTCCGGAATTATACCCCACAATACCAACCTCAAGAGAAAAATTAAGACAAGACCTAAATGTAGAAACAACAAAATCACCTTTCTCCTCACATAAAGAACAACATATTGTAGATATATCTTCCTCTGTGCCATCTCCCCTCCCAGTGGCACCTGAACCTGAGCACTCAAATTTGATTCCAACTTCGCCGAGTGCATCAAATTCTACTCAAAGTACCCTTACCCCAATTGTAGTTCCTAAAACCTTCCAAAATCCTCCATTTTATTTTTCTCCTATATTCCAGCCAATCCCTCAAAAAATTTCTTCTCCCATTTTTAGTACTCCTTTTTATATGCCCCATGTACCCCAAAACCCCAAAAGTCAAACAGAGGAGGAACATCCAACAACTGAAACAGCCCGCTGCTGTAAAAATAAGGAAGAAAATAAAATAACTGAGCAAGACAAACTTGATGAGAGTCACCCATACAATACTAGGTTCCAAACCAAGAAAATAAAAGAAAATCTTGAAAAAGCTGAAAAATTATTTCCTTTAAGGGAAGTACCTATGGGTGGAGCCAGAAGAGGTATAGGCTTTGTGAATGCACCCTTAACCGCGTCCGAGGTTAGAAATTTTAAGAAAGAGATTAAACCCCTTTTAGAAGACCCCATTGGTATTTCCCAGCAATTAGATCAGTTTTTGGGACCTAACATTTACAGGTGGGAGGAGCTAAACTCAATCCTCGATATATTATTTTCTTCCGAGGAAATACAAATGATTAGGGCAGCAAGTATGAGAATCTGGGGAAGAGAAAATCGAGGTGGTCCTAGGGGAGAAGCTAAAATGCCTCCTAACATACCCGACTGGGACCCAAATGAGGAGGAAGGAAGAACAAATATGAGACAATACCGGACCTTAATCATAAGGGGGATACAGAAGGCAGTACCGAGAACCAATAATGCAAGGTTAGCTTTCAACAGTCAGCAGGAAAAGGACGAGTCACCGAGTGCCTGGTTAGAGAGATTAAAAAGGAATTTCCAATTATATTCGAGTGTGGACCCAGACAGCCCAGAGGGGCAAGTGTTAGTTAAAATACAATTTGTAACGAAAGCGTGGGTTGACATCAGAAGGAAGTTAGAAAAGCTAGACGATTGGCAAGAAAAAGGAATGAATGAATTACTAAGAGAAGCACAGAAAGTATATTTAAGGAGAGATGAAAAAAAGACAAGGACCAAGGCGAAAATCATGGTGGCAGTAGCAAGGGAGAGTGCAGGATTTAGAAACGATGGATCAGCGGGAGGAGAAGGCGACAGGTATAATGGGCCTAGAGGAAGTGAGTTTAGAGGAGCTAGACCAAGAGAAAGTGTAAGATTTGGAAACATTGAGTCACCTAGAGAGGGAAAGGATAAATATGTTGGATTTAAGGGAAATGAATACAGCAGACCAATTATCAACAAAACACAGTGGATAGAAGGGAGACCACCATGGGCAGAGGTTATATGCTTTTATTGTGGAGAAAAAGGACACACCAGAAATTTTTGTAATATAAGAAAAATAGATTATGCTATGTCCCGAGAACAAGATGCATTAGAAAGAAAATTGAGAGGGGACGATGAGGGGTGTCAGAGGCTCTATGCTCTGAGGGACGGACTGTGTCATCAAAAAGAGCCCCTGGTAAACTTGGAAATTGGCCCTCAGAGCGAAGAAATTGAATTTCTGGTAGACACTGGAGCTGATAGATCAAGTGTGTCAAGAATTCCAAAAGGTTGCATAAGTAATAAGACTTGTAATGTTAGGGGTGCTGAAAATAACCCTTTTGAAGTACCCGTCATAGAGGATGTGACCATAAAGGGAAGTTTCAGAGAAGGCTGTACTGACCTCCTGTATTTGCCAGAACTTGATTCGAATCTCCTAGGCCGGGACTTACAGGTGCAACTAAAGATAGGAGTGGTGCCTAAAGGAAAGCGTATGGTCCAAAGATGATGTTATTGAAACAAGACGATGAGAAAGGAATTAATTCAAATGTGTGGACAGAGGAAGGAGGGCATGGGTTGCTGGACATTCCACCTATTGAAATTAAAATGAAACCAAACCTTCCTCCAATTAGAGTTAAACAGTATCCAATTTCTGTAGAGGGAAAGCAAGGACTGAAACCAGTTATCAAAGATCTGATAAAGGAAAGTATATTGGAACTGTGCATGTCACCACACAACACACCTATATTACCAATCAGGAAACTGGATGGCACATACCGTCTAGTTCAGGACTTAAGAGAAGTAAATAAACAGACAATTACAAGGTATTCAGTTGTTGCCAATCCATATAATTTATTAAGTAAAGTACCAGCAAGCCATGCATGGTTCAGCATTATAGATTTAAAAGATGCATTTTGGTCGTGCCCACTAGAAAAAGAAAGCAGGAAGTGGTTTGTGTTTGAGTGGGAAGACAAGGAGACCGGAAGGAAACAACAGTTACAATGGACAAGGTTGCCACAGGGATTCACAGAGTCACCTAATTTGTTTGGACAGACTTTAGAGGAAATAATGAAGCACTTTACACCTGAAAGCAATTCCCAAGTTCTGCAATATGTAGATGATTTATTAATTTCTGGACAACAAAAAAAGGAGGTACAGAAAACAAGAGTTAACTTGCTGAACTTCCTAGGTGAAAAAGGGTTAAAAGTATCAAAAAGAAAATTGCAATTTGTGGAACCTGAAGTAAAGTATTTAGGACATTTAATTGGAATAGCTTACAAGAAATTAGATGCAGATCGGATTCAAGGGATACTTTCGTTACCAGCACCAAAAACAAAAACAGATGTAAGGAAATTATTGGGACTGATTGGATATTGTAAGTTGTGGATTGATGGTCATACAAAATTGGTCAAATTTCTATACAATAAATTGGTCGAAGATGAACCTATCAATTGGAACAAAGAAGATGATGAGAAATTAGAAGAACTCAAAGAGAAATTAGTGAATGCTCCAGTTTTAAGTCTACCAGATTTAAATAGACTATTTGAGTTATTTGTTAATGTTGAGGATGGAATAGCCTATGGTGTTGTAACACAGGACTGGTGTGGAGTGCGGAAACCTATAGCCTATATTTCAAAATTACTGGACCCAGTTGTTAGAGGCTGGCCTACATGCCTTCAAGCTGTAGCTGCAACAGTAACCCTTGTAGAGGAAGGCTACAAGCTAACGTCAGGCAATAAACTCAAAGTGTATACACCCCATGACTTAAAAAGCATATTGAGCAAACGAGCCTGTCAATGGATTTCTGAGAGCAGGTTGTTAAAATATGAATTGATTTTAAATAACAGTGAGAACATAGAACAATCCACCACCAGAATACAAAACCCTGCCCAATTTTTATATGGGGATCCAAAGGAAGAACTAGAACACCACTGCCTCGAGACTATAGATTTGCAAATAAAAGTAAGAGAGGACTTAATGGAACAGCTGTTACTAGAAGGAGAAATGCTTTTTGTAGATGGATCATCTCAAGTAGTAGATGGAAAGCGAGCATCAAGGTATGCAGCGGTGGATGGCCATACCATGACGATAGCAGAACAAGGAAAATTACCTGTGAACTGGTCGGCTCAGTGCTGCGAAATCTATGCACTGTTGAAAGGACTGAAATGGTTCAAAGGGGAAAGTGGAACTATTTATACTGACTCCAAATATGCTTATGGAGTAGTCCACACCATTGACAAGATTTGGGCAGAAAGGGGATTTATTAATACAAAAGGAAAAACTCTAATTCACGAAGGCCTTATAAAAGCAGTTTTAGAAGCCCAATATTACACAGGCCTGGTGGAAAAGGTTTGAGCTGTAGATAATCAGGGCCCCTCCAAAAGGACACAGATAACCAGGAATAGAGAAAACATAACTTTCTGCTGTCACAATTTTGTGTCAAAACCTTGGTTATGAGAAGAGAAAAAAAAAAAGATGTATTAAATGACCTGTTTTGCAGATAGGGACTTCTCTGTCTTTCTCTTTTTGGACTGAATTGTTCCCCAGGAGTGTATAAAAATGACTCTGTAAAGAAAACTTTTCCAAAGATTCCTAAAAAAATTCAGGAGTACTCTGCTGCAAAATTTCAGGCACTTGAAGGCATTTTTAATTCAAGCTTCAAGCATTTCTATGGGAATTCTTGAGAGACCGCATAGTTAATATATCCAAGATCTCTGATTGGCAAAAGTCTTTATTTCAGATAGGGGTAGAGGAAGGACATCCTCTAAGATACGAGGGTTAAATACAAAGAATGACACATTTCAAGCAATTTGAGAAACATCTCTTTTTATTAATTTTTCAAACATGGATACATTTGGAAAGAGACAGGTCACTACAGAAGGGTAATTTTTACAAAACTAAGGGTAATTTTACCAAACTGACTACACTAAAGGGGCTCTGCAAGCTTCGCTAATAAATAAGTCTAATTAAAGCTACAGTTTACAACTACAAATAAAGCTACAATTACAGTTACAACTATAACAAAAGCTACAGCTAAAACAACATCTACAACTACAGCTAAAACTACAGCTACAACTAATTAACTACATTAAGATGATAAGAGGTTGCTGTCTTCGAGGTGTTCCGAGCAACCTCTATCGGCTTCTGAGTCTTCCACGAGGAAGGATGTGCACGTGGAGCCAGGTTTTGCCTCAAAGAGTTGGTCACCGTTGTAACTAGAAGGTGCAGGACAAGGCCACAGCAAGATGTGTCTGCACAATGAAGTCATGTGCTGCAGCATCTTCCTTCCGCAGGAGCAGGAAAGCAGCTTCAGGACTGCCAGTGACAAGGGAAACAATTGTGCAGAGTTCACGTGGCTGTCATCGAATGTGATCCCCAGCACAGCTCTGTGCAGGGAACTCCTCTCAGTGGCTGGAGAGCATCGTCCAGAGGCGAAATCGCAGCTGGCCATATGTTTGCATCAGCTCCCTGTGGGTGGCTGGATCTCGGGCCAGGTGCTCGAAGAGGTTGAGCGGCTCAACCCTTCGCGTTGCTGGCGACACGCTGATCTCTGCGGGAAGCCTCTCACTGCCTTGCACAAAGTGCTCCAGGCGTTTCAACTGCAGGCAGCGGTGCAGGTAGGCCATGACGTCCCACAGCCGCCGTTCAAATTCCCTCCTGCGCCACTGGGACAGCGGTACTGTGGTCAGCACGTGCATGACCACAGTCTTCCAGGTAGAGCAGGAAAACCCTGTACCCCTCAGGATGAAGGTGAAGACCTGCAGGCATTTCAGGTGCAAGCTGTGACAGGGCAGCTGCCTGGCGATGTGCTGGAAGAATTTCGCCTCTGCCACAGCGTACGTCTCAGGCCACGCTGTGCTTGTGATGAGCTTGGCCTCGGCAGGCTGACTGTTCATAAAGTTGATGGAGCCACCTCTCTGAGCCTCTGTGGGCTGGCTGATGACAAAGATGTCGGAGTCCCCTTGGCGCACTCCAAAGAGCATCTCCACCATCAGGCTCTTCTTGCCTTTGGTAAGCTGGAATTGGCAGGACCGGCTGCAGGGCTGAAACACCAAGTGCCATGAGTAGGACTGAGGCACGTGCAGCCAGGAGCATCTCACCAGCTGGTGGAACCAGTGGGAGGTCTTCTCCACGTCCAGGTAGGAGCCGGTGCAGAGTGTCTCTAGGAGGCTGCGCTTCTGCTTCCGCCACAGCTCCTCCTGCGAGTGGTGCAGGAAGCACAACAGCTTCTCGCCCAGCTGCTCCCTCTGGCATGTGCACACCAGCTCCACGCGGACGCTGAAGGTCCTTGCTGCCATCTGCCCTGCACTGTTCAGTTCTAGGTGGAAGGCATGGCCTGGCGGGGGATTCAGCGGGACCAGCACACGGTACACGCCATCCCACTCGCGGGGACTCCAACCCTCAAAGGCACTGCCCACTCCAATGGCTTCTTGAGGCACTGGGTAGAAGCTATTGCTCACGCTGTCCACAAAGACACGCGTGAAACTCTCCATCAGCTCAGCTGTCACTGAGCAACCTTGCTCCAGCTCCTCCACAGGCCACTCTATGTGATCCACAAAAAGGATGGCTCCCTCATTCCCAGCATTTCCTCCACTTTCATGTCAAAATTCCCTTCAATGATGTCATCGTCTCCTTCATCTGCAGCCACGGGACTGCCTTCTCTGTCTCTTCCGCTCCCGTTGTTGTCAGCCTCCACAGTTACATCAGTGTTTCCTTTGCCTTCCTCTGAATAAGGACTCTCTTCTTCCTGTTGTGTTCCACTCTCGTTGTGTCCAAAGTTGTTGCAGGAGCTCTGGTCCTTGCCGCTGCTGCTGGCCTGACGGCTCCTTCTCCTGCAGCTAAAGCACAGGCCCAAGAGGAGCAGGACTCCAGCAAGAGCCCAGAATGGCCACTGCTGCAGGGCACCAAAGAGCACGGCTGCCCAGCCCTCGTCCAGGGGCCCCTGCTCCAGCTCCCGCAGCAGCCGAGCCATCTCCTGGTCCAGCAGCTCCTGACGCTCCTGCATGCGCTGGTGCGTAGCCTCATCCAGCCCATCTCCAGCCGGCTGGGGGTACTGGATCAGGCTTTGCACGAGCACGAAGATCAGTGATAGTAAAGCCATGGTCTGCAGGAGGACACACAGAAAGGCTTCAGTGGGGCCGGAATGGAGACAGGCAGTGGGGGTCAGGAGGCGCTCTTCCTGATATTTCAGGTCTTAATTCCAAAGAACAGAGATGCCAGGACTTGTCAGTGTACAGATTTCAAAACTACGATTTTTATATTCCAATAAAGAGTTATGGCTCAGTTTTAGTGAATTTAATACTACTGTTGCAAATTGTGACCACTGAATGTCTAGAGCAACCTAGTCACTATGACCTTATAAATTCATTGTAAACCTAATGAATAAGTCGTCTAGGCCATGTAGCTTCAATATGTAATTTTTATCACTGACGCAAGAGTTCTTCTTTCTTCTCCTCACCTATCCCTGTTTGACATCTTGGGGTTTTGTTTTATTTTATTTTGTTCTGTGGAGTCAGACATCAACAAAATAGCAATATGTTAGAAAAACATATTTATTTTAAAATATGTTTTTAAAAAAAGATCTTTTAAAAATCTTTAAAATATCTTGTAAATATTTAAAACTAATCAACTACAGGAATATGGGGCAGTTTTATGGCACCTGCTCTACTGGAATCAGATGGGATACATCTCCCTGTTAAGGACAAAGGTTTTTAGCTCATGAACTGGCAGAACTTTAAACTAGGTCTGAAAGGGGAAGGGGATGCATCTGGGCTGTCTGGAAGCAGGTACAAGGATGGTAAGACTGTGTTAGGGGAGAAGTCAGTGGCCCAGCTGAGGTGCATGTATACCAATGAATGTAGCATGATGTAACAAACAGGAGGAGCTGGAGGCCATCATGCAACAGCAGAACTATGATGCAGTCACCATCACAGAAACATGCTGGGATGACTCACACAGTTGGAGCACTGCAATGGATGGCTACCAGCTCTTCAGAAGAGACAGGAAAGGGAGAGGAGGTGGAGGGGTGGACCTTTATATTAGGGAGGTTTTGGATGTCATAGGTATTGAAACTGATGACGATGAAGTTGAGTCCCTATGAGTAAGAATTAAGAGGAAGGCCAACAAGGTCTGGTGTCCCTCTGTGACCAGGTGACCCTCCTGGTGGACGCAGGAAAGGCTGTGAATATTGTCTATTTTTTAAACTTCAGCAAGGCCTTTGATACTGTCTGCCACAGCATACTCCTGGAGATGCTGGAAGCTTGGACAGGAGCGCTCCTTGCTGAGTTGGGAACTGGCTGGATGGCCGGGCCCAGAGAGTGATGATGAATGGTGCCACATCCAGCTGGGGACAGTCACCAGTGGTGTCGCTCGGGGGTCTGCGCAGGGACCACTCTATTTAATATTTTTTATAAACAACATGAATGAGGGCATGAAGTCTTTCATTAGTTAATTTGCAGATGACACCAACCAGTGGTTTCCTGCTTCTTCCAGATATGAAGAAAATTTGAATTCTTAGCTGTGTTTGGTATTTTCTTTAGGCACCAGAGGGGAGTTTTAAATTACTGCGTTCTGGAAAATGCATCCTAACTTATGTCAGTTTCACAAGACTGGATAAAGAATGTATTTACTTAATCAGAAAATGTGATGCTTCACTGGGTTTTTGCAGAAATAACACCCAACATATTCACTGTATAGATAACCAGGTTGCCATTCAGAACACCATATCCCCATCCCTGTGCCCTTCTTTGCCACAGTTCATCTTTTTTAGGGCTTTTTACCACCATAGATAGTCTCTGCAAAGTAACTCTACATAATGCTAGGGAAGGCTTTGGTACATATCGTGAAGCTCCACTTAGGGGTCACCCTTGCTGTAGTGGAGTTTTTAATAACACCTGGAGAGTACAGTTGCACCTCTCACTGCCATCTCAGAAGGGTCTCCCAAGGGTCTTGACTCGTCTTTGTCCTCATATTTCTGATACTGTAGGGTATTTTACAACCTCTTTGTAGGAAACCAAATATAGAACCCTTAATGTTCATCACTGCAACAGAGAACAAAGTAGGTATCTCTTTCTGAAGATACATGGAAATCAAGGTCCCTTTCTACAGAAAATCCTTCCAGTGACTAACATCAACCCTGCAAAAAACTGTTGCTGTAGATTTGTGTTCTGAAAACATCTTATGAATACTTTCAGTAACTTCTATACCTGAGGAGACAAGTGTTCAGCTTGTAAGGAAAAGCATCTTGCCTATTCAATAGGTTTTTCTAATTCAGTCAGGATGGTCAATGTGTTTTCTGGAACTGCCTCCAGAGAAGGAGTAGAGAGAATGACCAGCTGTGTTAGACACAAAATCCAAGTTTAAACATCAGTTGTTGCTGAAATTCCAGCTTATTCCTTTTTACTGTAGAGCTGTATGCCTTTAAAACAGAAAAAAAGTGACATTTCTGATCCTGAGCAACTATTTACTGCCTGACTGTCTTTACAGCTGGAATAGCTCTGAGTCAGTTTTAAGGGCCCTGATACATTCAACAAGTTTACATCAAAATGATAAAAAAAAGTATTTGAAAATAAGGTTTTGATCTTGACAGCACGTAACTACTTTACTCCTGGAAGACAGCATAAAATTGCCATCAAGTCAGTCTTGATAGCAGAAATCATTGGTAGCATGTAGGGACAAAGTGGGCTTTTGTGTTATCCCCCTCTTCTGGCATCATTTAGAACTAAGTTTGTAACACCACCCCCCACAATTTTGTTGATTCCATGTATTCCAGTAATTGTAGCTGGGGGGATCAATGGTGCCTGCTCTTAATTCAGGCAGTTTTCAGGCTACTCTGAGTTGGAGATTACACCAATGCCCCTGGAGGTAACCTTGCCTAAAATCTGCTTAAACCTGTGCTGTCACTGCTCTCATCAGGAGCTGAGTGTTGGAGCCAAGTCCTCAGTCTGTGAAGCAAGTGATGGTAAAGCCAGGAGCAGAGCAAACAATGAGGAATAATGCAATCTGCTTCCAGGGGACATGGATCATTAGCTGGATTACACCAGCAGATAGTAATGGAAATTCAGCATAGAATTCTGTAAAATAATTAGCCCAAGATGGAGGAAACAGCCCAAGAAATAGGCGCTAAATGGAACAATCAAATAATACCAGGAGTCTGTATGAAAATAATAATTGGAATTTTCATGTCAACAAATGCCTCAGCAAGAAAAATGCACCTAATTTTGTATCAATAAAAGGCAAGCAACAAAAAACCCAGTGCTTTTTGTGTGTGAGCCACTTAACAAGCACTCTTTCAAACCCTGAGCACCACATCCGTCCCTGCACACATCAGTAGGTTATTATTACCTTGGAGTGGGTACAGGCCAGGTCAACAAAGCTTACACTAGCTCTGCAAAACAGGCTATAAAGCAAAGCTAAAGGAGCTGTGCTGCTTTTCATTAAAGAGTCTTCAAGGGGACATAGTGGAAGTTGTTTTCAAGTTAAGAACTACATCAATAAAGTCAATGCAGATGGGGTTTCAGACAAGTGCAGGGTTAAGACTTTTTCCAATAAGAATGAAAAGCTAATGTATGAGATTATTTATGGGAGAGACTTTTTGGTATCTGAATTCTAACATCATTACATCTGAACAAAACAGAATTAATTGTCTGGCTTTGTAAATAGCAGTTTACAAAAAATGGCCAGCACCTGACATTTCTCAGGATAAGCAAAACTCCACCTTGGTAGTCAATGCTTCTGTTAAATGATAATGACTTACCCTGGTGAATCTGAACTCCATAGGTTTGGAACAGACCCCAGGGATGAGTTACTGGAACCATGCTCCTGACTTGCCCAGGCTGATTGGCTTTGTAACACTGAACATGAAGCAACACAACATCTTTGGCTGCTGAATCTGCTTTGCAAAGCTCTCCAAGATCAGTAAATAAAAGCTAGAAGAATGTAAATAGAATGTTAATTTTTTGTGTGTTGAGTCTCTTGCTGCTGAAAGACTAGTGAAGAGCTGCCTGGTTTCACTGTTAAATCCTTGAACACTCTCACATCCTGTTCACAGATGCATTTTTCTGCCTATAATAAAGGAAATCATTCAAATGATATTCCCACTACTTTCACCATCTTTACTGAATATCACCTGAAAGTGGCTAAATCACACAAAGAATTCACAGCTGATGACATTTTCCCAAGCCACAGAATAACACCTGTGACTTACTTTTCAATAAAGAAACACACTTTTTAAAATGTTTTTTCTTCTTTTACTACCAGTTGAAAGCCTTCACACCCCATGAACACTTCGAGGGCGCACACCAGCACTTCCCCAAGCACTGCCACGGCACAATCACCTTTTTCATTTGCTTATTAAAACTTGCATTCTGATCTCCAGCCTCTTCTCTCTTGCTGGAGGTTGGATGCATTACTAAATTACGGCCTACGTATAAATCATTTCACTGTTAAGTCCCCAGTCCAAGCCCTAGCTAGGGTGAAATATGGCCTGTGCCAGTATGGTCGGGAGGACAAGGACTGGATGACTCCAAGAGCCATGGAGGATTTGGGACCCAGGTTAACAGAACTGGAAACAGTGTTAGATAGGATGTTGTCTAGAACTGATTGCTTTGAGCTGTACCATTGAGAGAATCAGATAGCTAGAACAAATATATGGGGTGTCACTATGAGACACAAAACACCACAACGTGAACACACTGATGTTCTCGAGGTAAAAGGGGTAGTTTATTTTTTAACTCCAACAATTATAGATTTCTAAAAGTGACAGTGGATTGGAGGGTGACAGTGCCACCTCTCCAATGACACTGGACAAACCAACAGTCCATCAAATTTCTCTTCCTTTATAAAAGAATGCAAACAATAAGTTATTTACAGAAAGTGTGTGAGAAAGTTTGTTACAAGAATGTAAACATCAGAAGGCTTAGAAAATCTTAGAAAATCAGCGCCACAATGGGTGTACTTTGTGCTTGTCTGATGCTCAGCAGATGTATAAAAAAGTGATGCTGGAAGGATGGAACAGTGCTGTGTCAGTGGAAATCCAGCAGGAGGATGTGCTTAATGAAGCAGATCCTTTTCAGCTTCATAGTAATGACCCGGAGCATCCTG